TTTCAATGCAACTTTAGTAAATGAAATGTCAGCAACAGCTGAGAGTAACTGAATTATTTAGTAGAGAAAACTCTTTCTTCGTAACTTCGTTGGTAACTAACCAAATTCTAGTAATAACTTTTGATATAGGTGAATGTACTTACTTAAAACCATTTTGATTATTACATGTATAAACAATTTCTATCAAAAACTAATTAAAATATGAGATCAAATGTATTCTTCTGAATTTATATACAACGTGAAAGTAATAATACTCTTTACACGTATATTGTTCATCTCGTTATGTCACTTTTAACGAATGGAACGTTCAAATAATGTAATTATTTTACTTTTTTCCATTTCACTTTATTTTTGTTTTGTTTTGCTTTGTTTTGTTTTGTTTTTTTTTCATCTTTTATTTGCCGATAAAATATAATGCTTATTTGCAGATAAATTATCAATATAAAAGCCGCAATATTATAGAATATTTAAAACTATGTTCAGTAAAAAAGAAGAATACAATTTTCAGAGAAATATTCATATTTATTATTACTCCTATACGAGATATTGTTTCGACAATTACTCGTACCAAAACAAAAAAAATATTCTCTCGTGTACTTTTTTTCTGTTTATTCAATTATTTCATTATATAACAAATCAAATTTGTGGGAATACTTTTTTTTTCTTTTAATAAATAGAAAAATAAATTCGTACGATTCAATTGATCTGTGTTAAATAATTAAAATAGTCTATTATATATTCCCCTCACTACTTAACCTCAAAAAAAAAAATAGAAGTTGATTTAAAAAATTTTCTAAGCGTTAAAATTTGCGCGAATACTTTGTTTTTCATTTAATAAATAAATAAAAAATTGTGTACGATTCAATTGATTCATGTTAAATAAATAAATTAGTCTATTATAGACTCCCTTCACTACCTAACCTCAAAAAAAACTAGTAGTTGACTTAAAAAATGTTCTAAGTACTAAAGTAGTCTGCCTGATTGGAGTTTCTTTTTAAAGGATATCCAATTTAGGAGAAGACAAACGTCGCGACACTTTCAACGGTAATGAAAGTGGAAGAAGAAGTAAAAGTAGAAGTAGAAGAAGAAGAAGAAGTCTCGGCGCGCCCTTTTGTTTTCTTCTGGTGCTCCTCATACAAGGAATATACACATAGCAAGAGTACTCCCTCGGTCGTCCTAGAATTCAATCAAACCGTGTTTACAGCTCAGTACACTTAATCCTCTTTATTGGATTCAAAGCATTTGCTGGTTCCGTATCTCAGAATTTGATCAATTTTATGGCCGAAGGATTTGAACGATACTCGGTTGAAAGCCATCTGTCTACTTCCACTTCTAAACGAAATTATATCGTAGCACGTACCCAGATCATTTTCATCCAACGTTTAACCCGTTCTCCTTGGATCTCTTTCACAACCCTCACAACCCTCTCATCCTTCTTTTACGTTTATTCTTTTTCCTGTTAACTCATCAAGTTCCTATTTAGTTTATGCGCAAACCCATCATTATGAAATAGAAGAGGAAGAAACAAACGTTAAATACAAACTGGTTACATTCAAAGGGTTTCTTCATATTTCGAGTAATATAACATAGAATCTAGTTAGAACCCTTCTAACTATTTACTAATACTACTACCGATCGAATATTACCACGACAAATTACTCGACATTTTATTCTGATACTATCATTACATAATAATTACATCTGATTGATGTATATGTATTCTGTTCACGTTCAATATTTAACAAAAATTGATATTTATTATAATATGACTTTTGTTCGTCATTATATTTGTATTATGAAGAAATATCGATGACTATGGAAAAATCATCCCCTTCTTGTTTTTTATTTCTCTTTTTGTCTACTACTATTGTAATTCCTCTTTCTAACAGTTCTTCTTCCTCGTTAGATTTGGTCGTTACGATTATTTTAAATATACCACGACACGCTATATGATTTATGATTTTACTAACAATATTTAGCATCACGTATCACGTTGCCAACATTATGGTCTATTAAGTTGACGCGTGAGAAGTGCGAAGAACTACGTTTCAAAACTAATGAACTTTATTGTAACGAAGATAATCATACCCACTCAATTTGAACTAACTTAAAAGAAAAAAAATGGATAAGTAAGCGTTGTTCTTTAAACAAAAAGTGTCAGTATAATATCTTTAGTTATCTTTTATCTATTTTAAAGATGTCTCAAATTATGTAACTTATATAATTATAGTCAAAATTAACGACTGAAACATGAGACCTTAACAATTAGATAATAAACTGAGACACACATATACACACACACATACATTATATTTTGGAAGAAACTTGAAATCTTCTTCTCATTATCGTAACATGAAGATATTACGAAAATGATAAAGATAATAAAGTATAGAAATTGATAAGGAAAGTTTGTAAGGTGATCCGGATCATCCATCGATCGACGTCTAAATGTAAAATAAGAAAATTTCACGTATGGGGAAATTGGATTTCTTTTACGGGTGGGAAAGGGGGTATCTAACTCTTCAGCCAGCAAACTTCACGGACCACTTGCTACCGCATGCTTTTAGAAAAGGATAACTTTATCGAGATGCGATCACAATGTCGTAAGAAAAACTAGAACGGATAACTATACTTGTGACATATTTTTAACAACAAATGAAATTACAAATAACTAACCGTGCATTAAAGAAAATATTTTGAAATATTTTAGTTGTTAAGATTGGTTGCATCAGGTTTCATCTGTACAATGTTGTTTTTTACAAACGAACGAAATTACAAATGACTAACCGTGTATTATAGAAAATATTTTGAAATATTTTAGGATGAGTTGTTTGTGTAAAGAACAAAAAATTAATATTATTTAAATTATAAATTAAATAATTAGATAAATTAATACTATTAATACTAATATTACTCATATAAATTAAAACTAGTAATACTATTATTAATACTATTATAAATTAATACTTATTATTAATATTAATACTATTAATACTATTTAATAAATTAAATAATTAATAATTTAAAATTATATTTAAATTATAAATTATAAATTTCATCGCTACGATTTTTTAATATTATACAAAAAAATTCTAAATGCAGCTAATATTTTGAAATATTTTAGTTGTAAAGACTAGTTGTATGCATAAAGAAAAACAAAATTAATATCAATATAAAAAATATTAAATTTCATCTCTACGATTTTTTAATATTATAAGAAAAAAAGAAAATTTCTAAATAAAGCTACGATAATTGGTGAGAAAGAAAAGATCGTGTACTCGTCGTTCACGGTCAATAAACAAAACGCTAAAAAGTTAATTACATGCTGGAAAAGCTTGACCATTTTCTTCTGAAAATGACCACCATGAATGAAGGAAGAAAGGAAAAGGGACGAGAAGGGTAATCGCACGTTTTAGACCATCCTGTTAATGCTTCTTTTTCTTTTAACTTTTACCAAGTTTTCTCTGAAGTTTTTTTTAACGATCCACCAAGTTTCTTAATACTTTACGTCTTACTCGTGTTCTGTGCAAACGTTTTCTCATAAATTCATGCTACTTCAATTCTTTCATATTCCCATTTAAATCTCCCCCCCCCCACCCTCCTCTCCCCTCAACTACATAAAAAAATATTTTAACCATTAGAAAATATCTAATTCTCTAAATTAAACACGCAAATTGAAACACTATCAAAAATGGTATTAAAAAGCAACAATCTCTTTATTTTTTTTTTTTGTATCTCTGTTATATACAAAAGTTATATATGTGTACATGTGTGAAATATACAAAAATCCGATGAAAAGATCGGCAGACTTCACGGAACGAAGTCACGTGTTAGGATAACAAGGATTTTCCCGAAAATAACAAGCGCAAATCCGATAGGCCGGCAGCGGCGGCGGCTTGCAAACTTCGACTAAAAGTTAGTAGTATAAAAAAAAAAATTAAAAAAACATAAAACGAATTGGTCGAAACAGAAGTATGGGGGTCCGATTATTATTGATGACTTAACAAAAAAAAAACAACACTCCTTTTTATAGTAATAATCTTCCTTTTTGTTAATCTAATACACATCACGAGAGAGAGAGAGAGAGAGAGAGAGAGAGAGAAAGAAAGAAATAAAATACTGCAAAATACTTCAAAAATTTATTTATAAATATAAATGAAACACTAGAAAATGGATCGTATTAATCGATTGGGAACAAAAAAAAACATTAGTGTTGTTGTTTTTTTTTTTTTTAGGATAAGGATCAATTAATATAGCAACGTGTATATCGAACAACATCAAAAGTTTTTGCTATCTCTCTCTTTCTCGTTTAATATAAAAATTCGATTAGATCGCGGTAAATGTTTTATTTTATGCATATATATATAGAGCGTACTTTTACAATATAAAGAGAGTAAGTTTGCATTATCTTTCACATATATCAAGGACCGAAATACCTCGATACTTCGATCCCCATTCTCCTATCACAAGGTTTTCTAGTAACTAAAGGGGGAAGAAAGGATGGAAGGTAAGTAGGAAGAAACGTCGAACGTCGAAGGCGTCACTTTTCGCAGGATAACACACGATAATCCCTCTTGCACGGGCTTTCGATCCTAACTTACGCTTCGCGTCAATCACACGTGACACTTCACCGTAGTAAATGCGACCCATCCTCCGTCACGAAAATAAAAATCAAGTCAATCGTTTCATATTTTCTTTTTTTTTTTCTTCAAATATAAAAATAGGAAATAGAAAAAATAAATAAAAATAAATAGAAGGTATGATGTGTGAAATAAAAAGGATGGTGTACACACGTATGTGTGTGTTTATGTGATTAATTATAAGATAAAAAAGGACAACAGGACCAAAACAATATTTTTACCTGTCAAACTTCCTTATGATACAAAGTTTTTTTTATAAAAAAAAAATAACAATTAGTATAATGAAGTGTTATTATACTAAGAGAAGATGAACAACGCGTTTTTTTTTTTTGGCACATGTTTTTCCACACCAAAACTCACCGACAAGCTCCGTTCTTACGCCAACGAGAAAAGCAGCTAGTATCAGTAGAGGTTGCACCTGTCTATGTAGTAGTCGTTGTCGTCTTGGTTGTATGGTGCACGAACACATATCACGTTTTTCAAGCATGATAAATAATCACGCGTTAATACGAACGAAAAGCACCACGTCTCGTGTCGTATCGTTCTGTAGAAACCTACGACGAAGGGTAGCGCACGTCGCTTTCTAGACTGAAGTTCCGAGCTCGTGCGTCGGTTCGTATATCCTCGAGGCCAACACACGAGGAAACACCCTCCTCCTACCGTTCCACACGCCCCACTCCGTTCTCGTCAACTCCAAGGGGTTGCTCGAACGTGCTACACCATTGCTCCCCCACCACTTCGGGGTACTCGGCGCGAGCGCGAACCTTTACTGGCGCGCGTGCTATCCTTCCTGAAAAATCTTTTTTCCACCCTTCCCCCCGTTTTTTCTTTTCTTTTCTTTTCTTAATCCACCATTTAGTTCTTTTTATTAATTCTACTTAACAAAATAAAAAAATACAATTAATATGTAAAGTTTTAGGTGGATGATTATAATAATTAAAATTTTATATTTACGTACATTTTTTTCTATTTTTTGTTCTTAGTTCTTTTAGTTAATACCATTCAAAAAATAAAAAATACAATTATATGTAAAGTTTCAGGGAGGGGGATGATTGTAATAATTAAATTTATATATTTACTATTTTATTATTTTATTTATTATTTCAAGTTTTGTTTTTCTTCTCTTTCCCTTTTTTTCTTAGTTCTTTTCATTAATTTCATTTATTAAAATTATTTCAATATAAAAGTTGCAGGGAGAAAATTATAATAATTAAATTTATACATTCACTTAAATTTTGCTTTTATTTTTGTCCCCAAATATCAATTTTTTGCATCACATTCATTTGAACTACTACATTACTACGAATGTTAAATAATCCTTTGAATAAAATATCCGAGACAGAAATAAATATGTAATGGTACTTACCTATGTTAGATATCTACACGAGGTACCTAACGCTAAAAGGATTAAATATCTCCTGCAATTTCCGAATTGGTAAGGGTTGGTAAGTTACAAAATACTATTTTGGAAATGTAATTTATGGAAAAAATATAAAGTTAGCTGGTGATTGATTGGTCGATTGGTTGGAATTGGACACTCGCTAAAGTCTCTTTCGTTGAAAAGATACGCGAAGGTTGTTAGCAAACAGGGAAAGGGACTTTGTATACTTTTCAAATCGCTTACGTTCGAACGAGCTTATCGAACAGGTACATACAAACATGTTTTGTACATATATTTGTTAGTGACGTGTTAAAACGTATTTTAGTGTTGGTAACATTGTTCAAAAAGGACAGAGAATGACAGAGAAATTTGTTTCTATGGGTGTTCATCGAATGTATCGAAACAAGATTTGTTTACGATTACTGGTTTAAATATGAGTAATTGCTAGTAATTGAGAAGTAATGGAATTACAATTTTATTCAACGTATATAACCGGTCATCCGAAAATTCTCCAATTTCGCGTGATGCGGTCTCGCGCAGATTTGTTGAAAGAGAAATAGATAGATAGACAGATATATATATATATATATAGTTGAATAGAAAATGAAAGAGAAATAGAAAATGGTAGAAGAGTATAAATATGCTTCCCCTTTTTGTCTAATCCAAGTTAAATCTAAATACAATTTGTATGATCAAACGAAACAAGTTTGGGAACAATACAACGCAACGTCATATTTTTATTTGCCTAACTCGTAAATCATGTCACATATGAGGAACAAAAAATATCTAAAAGAATAAAAAGAAGACATAAAAAACACCCCTACTATTTATGGAAATCTTTTTAGTTTGTGAAATAAAAAATACTTTGTTTCTTAGGAAACATTTGTCGATTTGTGCAATATGAAAATTTACTTGTTCATTAATAGGTGCTAATTACAAAATAAAAAGAAAAATATACGGGAACGAGGTATTTGATAAAAATAAAATTGTTGATTTAGTTCGAAATCGAAAATCCTATCTGATGTCTAACAACCAACCATGGGAGTTTTTGCAGAAAGCGAGCCGATTTATATTAATCTAGAAAAACGTTAATGAAAACAAAAAAAAAAAATAAATAAATAAAAAAAAAAAGAAAAGAAAAGAAGGGAAAAAAAAGAAACCTATTTAAAATATATATAACTTGGTAAAAAATAAAATGGACGAAACCGTTGTCCAATTCATTTAAATACCGCAATAAACGAACGAACGGAGCACGTTCTCTACGTCGCGAAATAGACAATATCGTCAGGATAAATTTATCGAATGTGACCGGCGCTCAATATTCTCACGCACACACATATATATATACACACACATATACAAATATACACAAATATACATAGTATGCTATACGAAATATACGATCGATATATTCCAAAAATTAATTTTCGCGGCGCGTGATTAAAGCCGTATATGTGTACATATTTACCACTTAATAATATCGAATTTCCGCCACGAAATGAATGAATGAATGAACGAAACGAAACGAAACGAAACGAATCAACGCTAAGAGAAAAAGGGATTCCCGAATTTAACGGTAGACTCGTTCAATGATTTTCACAATTACCGATAAAGATAAAAATAAATAGAGGGTGAAAATATTACGTGAAAGATACGAAAGATGATATATGGAACAAAAGTAAAACAAAACAAATAATAATAATAATGTAATTACGATTTATAATAATGTATGTATGTGTGTGGTATAAAATCAAATAGAATTTCTAATATAAAGTAGAAACGATTCGATATTTGATGGTGCCAGGTGTCGTTCCTGGTACCATAATGTCGTCAGTAGTGATGGTTGTGATGGTGGTGGTGGTGGTGGTGAGCAGCTTGCTAACGACAGGAATTCTTATAAGGCGTGCTCTTGCTCGTTTTATTTCACTCGTCTTACACACGGGGACTAATACTTGTAACCGACGGCCCGCACGCAATAATAAAACAAAAAAGAAGCCCCCCTACCCCATGAGAAATAAAAGGAAAGAGAAAGAAAAAGTAACGTCGTTAGAATTTCGCATTGTATGTTTGTGTTGAAACCTCTTCTTCTTGGTAAGGTAGAAACGAGTAATTTGTTTCAATGGGTACTAACACAATTAAGATTTTATTATGAATCTTCGTTCATGAAAAAGAAACATTAACGTTAGGTTCACGGTCAAAGTTAAAAGTGCTGGGAATGATCGATGATCTATGATTTTATGATCTACAATTCTTACTTATTATCCAAACACCTATCTTTTATTATTGGCGCTTGTATTATTAATTTTATTAATTTATTAGTTTATAATAAATTTTTTATATATTATATATTTATTATTATTAATTTATTTTTGTATTAAAGTTGTTTAGTTATTTTGTCGTTGAAATTGGCAAATATTTTCAATTGATAAAAATAAAGAAAGATACTCAAACAAATTATGTAATAAATTTTTTTGTTTTTAAGAATTGATACATTATTTAATATATAATTATATAAATTTTTAATTTATTATATAATTTATATATAAAACAAAACGATTTGTGATTTACAATTCTTGCTTATTATCCAAACACTTATCTTCTATTATTGTTTTTTGTATTATTAATTTTATTAATTTAATAATAAAATTATTTATAATTAATTTATTACAAATTATATATTTATTATAATTAATTAATTTTTGTATTAAAGTTGTACAGTTATTTCATCATTTAATAAATTAACAAATATTTTCAATCGAATAAATAAAGAAAGAAAGATACTCAAACAAATTATGTAATAAATTAAGAATTTAGTCAACAACAAAAAAATATACTATAAATTATTCTCTTTTTAATCTTTTAAACTATTGTCCAAGAAGTACATTTATACTTACAGTAATTTCAACGTACATAGATATACCTAATGTCGTGTCCGAATGCATTAGAGTCGAAGAATTTTGTTGAAATGTATGCTCGAGTATGGTAGGTAGGTAGGTAGGTAGGTAAAAAAAAGAAAAAGAAAAAAAAAGTAGGTAATGCTTAAAGAGTGGAGAAGTAAAAAAAAAAAAAAGAAATCGAGAAAGTACAAAGGCGAAAACGACGAGGAAAATCGCAGCAGTAGCAGCAGCAGCAGAAACAGCAGCAGTAGCAGTAGCAGTAGCAGCGACTCTGGAAAAAGGGGGTGTCTTTTGTCGTCGCTTAAAAATGATCTTCGCGAAAGGAAAGAGTAGGAGGAAGAAGAAGATATATATATAGTATATACGGTAGTGAGAGTTTCTAGTTAGTCCACGGCAAGCCAGACAAATGGTTCCTTTCCCTTCACAAGAGTAGGAAGGGAAAAAGGGTAGTGGGGGAGAATACGACACGTGTGTGTCGTGTAAGTAAGAATAAGTGAAGCCACCCAAGTTGAGTACTGGCCGCATTCGGTTTAAATCCTTCCAAACAATACGACTGGGAAGACGTCGTCTTTACCTAAGTAGGATTCAACTGGGTCGTGGTAGCATTCGGCATTTCATGGACAACGCGAATAAAAAGAATTACTCTTTTACCTACGCGTATCTTCTCCCACCCCCTCCCTCCTATGTTAGTAGAGGGTGGTAGTCCCCCTTCTTTCACGAAAATGAAGAGAAACATCTCTACGAGAAGAAATCTCGAAAGAAAGAAATGCACACGATTGTACCCAAGATACTCGGAAAAACCTCCTCTCAGTACCCACACCCCATTTTACAACTGTAAGATATCCATCCTGGGCCATTTCTAAGTTCGTTCTTCAAAGGTACCGATCGTCGTCGTCCTATGGAAATTTCTAACTGCTATTTCGATGTCAGCTAGAGCGAGCATCCGTGTGATTTGGAAAAAGCGATCTTATTGAATTCCTTTACCCTTCCATCTTCCCTTTTTTTTCTCCCCTTCCCCCTTTCTCTTTCTAACTTCTTACAGAACTCTTATTTTCTTCTTCCTCCTCCTCCTTCTCTTGCTTGCCTTATTGGCTCTCCATGAAACGAAGCTTCCTTCCATCCCTCGTAAACTGTATCGTTCCTTTGACAGAGAATCGCCATGTTAGACAAGAAACATACGTAGAAAATTCTTTTTCGATTGCAAAGTCATACACGAACTCTCTTTCTCTCTCTTTTTGCAATATGTGCAGCGACTATTACTATTTTCTTTATCGATGTTACTGTCATTCTCAATTTGTCATATAGAAAACGTTTATTCGAATTTATGTCAATTCTAACACATTCGAAAAT